AGGTAGTTAAGAAGCTTCTTGGTGGCAAGGCACCGGGGGTGGATGAGATCCGCCCTGAGTACCTCAAGTCTCTGGATGTTGTGGGGCTGTCTTGGCTGACACACCTCTGCAACGTCGCATGGCAGTTGGGGACAGTGCCTCTGCATTGGCAGACTGGGGTGGTGGTCCCTCTTTTCAATAAGGGGACCGGAGGGTGTGTTCCAACTATAGGGATATCACACTCCTCAGCCTCCCCGGGAAAGTCTGCCAGGGTACTGGAGAGGAGAGTTCGACCAATAGTCGAACCTCGGATTCAGGAGGAGCAATGCGGTTTTTGTCCTGGCTGCGAAACACTGGACCAGCTCTATACCCTCTTCAAGGTGGCGGAGGATTCATGGGAGTTTGCCCAACCAGTCCACATGTGTTTCGTGGATTTGGAGAAGATATTCGACCATGTCCCTTGCGGCGCCCTGTGGGGGGTGCTCCGGGAGTACGGGGTCCAGGGCCCTTTGCTAAGGGCTGTCCGGTCCCTGTACGACCGGTGCAGGAGCTTGGTTCACGTTGCTGGCAGTAAGTCATACTTGTTTCCAGTGCATGTTGGACTCCAGCAGGGCTGCCCTTTGTCACCGGTTCCGTTCATTATTTTTATGGACAGAATTTCTAGGTGCAGCCAGGGGCCAGAGGGAGTCCAGTTTGGGGACCACAGGATCTCGTCTCTGCTTTTTGCAGATGACGTTGTCCTGTTGGCTCCGTTAAACCAGGACCTCCAGCATGCACCGGGGCAGTTTGCAGTCGAGTGTGAAGCGACTGGGATGAGAATCAGCACCTCCAAGTCTGAGGCCATGGTTCTCAGTTGGAAAAGGGTGGCTTGTTCCCTTCAGGTTGGTGGAGAGTTCCTGCCTCAAGTGGAGGAGTTTAAGTATCTGGTTCAAGTTGAAATGTGTTAAAAATGGTTCCATGTGTCATAAAAAGCTGATAAACTATTTTTGTGAGTCAATGCCATTTTCTCTGTGATGTATTCTATCAGAAGGTTGGTCCAGTGGTTTATGTGTATTTTTTTTTTGTTTCCAGTTTTGAAAGATTGTTTTCTTGGCAATAGCTAGAGAAATTGTGAGTGGGTTTTTGTATTTAATTGGTAAGTGGTCGATTTCTATGATATTACCGAGTAAGCAAAGTGATGGAGAAGGAAGGATTCTACAGCCCAAGATGGTGGAGAGTTTCTCTGTCACTGCTATCCAGATGGAATGAACTGGTTGGCAGGTCCAAGCAGTATGAAAATAACTGTCAGTGCAACCTAGAGTGCATTGTGAGCAGATGTCTGTGTCAGTGAAACCCATTTTGAACATTTTACTTTGTATAATATGGGTCCTGTAGATGGTCTTGTCTTGTATATTGTAAGTAAACATTGCTGGTCATAGAAAAGATGTTATTGCAAATTTCTGTCCAGAAGTCAGAGCTGAGGGAGAGAGTTAAATCGTTTTCCAATTTGAGGTTTAGTATTGTTATTGTTGAATCTGTACTTGATATGAGTTTATACTGTATATCTCGGATATTATTTTCTTGGGGGATTGGAGGAGTAATTTTCATAATCACTTAAATTAATTTGGAGGGTTGTAGTGGGTTATTGGTTACACTAATCTTTGATTTAATTATGGATTTTAGTTGAGTGTAGTGGAGGAACTGTTCTCTCTGAACTCCATACATCTGGGTCAGTGTATTAAATGATATGAACTGGTTATTTTCAAATAGGTAATGTAAGTGAGTGATTCCTTTGTGTTGCCATGTTGGAAAATAGATAGGGTTATTATGCAGTTGGAAATCAGGGTTGTACCAAATTTGAGTGTATCTACATGGTGCAGGTGATGATTTAGTCATTTCGTTTGCTTTCCACCAGGCTGTCAGAGGTGAGAGGATTGTGATGCTCTTACAGTAATTCATTTTCTTAAGAGTTTGGTAGAAAAGGAAGGTCTGCAACTGAGTTATCTGAGCTATTTTTGGAGTAATTTTGCTCTCATTTTATCCATGCACTGTTGCAACTGTCCTTCTGAATCCATTTGACTAAATATTGTAGCTGATTTGCCAAGCAGTAATATTGGAAATATGGTGTTTCTAGGCCACCTAGTGATTTCTTCTTTTGGAGTACAGATAGAGAAATTTTGGGTTTCTTGTTTTTCCAATTCCCTCCGTGGAACCGACACCTTAACGCGGTGGAGGGGTTTGAGTGCCTGAATGAGCCCAGGAGCTATGTTGTTGGGGGCTATATGTCCCTGGTAGGGTCTCTCATGGCAAACAGGTCCTGGGTGACAGACCAGACAAAGGGTGGTTCTTAGGCCACTTATGGCAAACAAAAAATCAAGGCTTACGTTTACCCCATCCGGTATGGAGTCACTAGAACCCCACCCTGGAGCCAGGCCTGGGGGAGGGGCTCATGTGGAAGGGCCTGCCGGCCAGGCCTATACCCACAGGGGCAGCGTTTGCTTTCCACCAGGCTGTCAGAGGTGAGAGGATTGTGATGCTCTTACAGTAATTCATTTTCTTAAGAGTTTGGTAGAAAAGGAAGGTCTGCAACTGAGTTATCTGAGCTATTTTTGGAGTAATTTTGCTCTCATTTTATCCATGCACTGTTGCAACTGTCCTTCTGAATCCATTTGACTAAATATTGTAGCTGATTTGCCAAGCAGTAATATTGGAAATATGGTGTTTCTAGGCCACCTAGTGATTTCTTCTTTGCTTCCACTCACAGCTTGGGTTTTGGAACCATTCTTCTTGACAAAGGGTGGACCCTTCTCTATTTTGGTGTTGCTCAGGGGAGAGGCAACAGGCTGGTGTGGGCTCCCTCCGTGGAACCGACACCTTAACGCGGTGGAGGGGTTTGAGTGCCTGAATGAGCCCAGGAGCTATGTTGTTGGGGGCTATATGTCCCTGGTAGGGTCTCTCATGGCAAACAGGTCCTGGGTGACAGACCAGACAAAGGGTGGTTCTTAGGCCACTTATGGCAAACAAAAAATCAAGGCTTACGTTTACCCCATCCGGTATGGAGTCACTAGAACCCCACTGTGTTGGATAGTGCTCCCACGAGGGACTCTACTAGGGGACTTTAACACCCACGTGGACAATGACAGTGATAGCTGGAGGGGCGTGATTGGGAGGAACGGCCTCCCTGATCTGAACCCGAGTGGTGAGTTGTTATTGGATTTCTGTGCTAGTGATGGTCTATCCTTAACGAACACCATGTTCAAACATAAGGGGCAAGTGCCTGGCCGACCAAAACCTCGGACACCAACTCTGGTTCTTGGGACTTGGAATGTCACCTCACTGGTGGGGAAGGAGGCTGAGCTGATGCAGGAGGTTGAGAGATACCGGCTAGATATAGTTGGGCTCGCTTCCACTCACAGCTTGGGTTTTGGAACCATTCTTCTTGACAAAGGGTGGACCCTTCTCTATTTTGGTGTTGCTCAGGGGAGAGGCAACAGGCTGGTGTGGGCTTGCTTATAACCCCCAGCTCACTCGTCAGGTGTTGGAGTTCACCCTGGTGGATGAGAGGGTCATTTCCCTGCGCCTTCAGGTCCGGGAATGGTCTCTCACTGTTGTTTGTGCCTACGCACCTAATGGCAGTGCAGAGTACCCAGCCTTTTTAGGGTCCCTGGGGAGTGTGTTGGATAGTGCTCCCACGAGGGACTCTACTAGGGGACTTTAACACCCACGTGGACAATGACAGTGATAGCTGGAGGGGCGTGATTGGGAGGAACGGCCTCCCTGATCTGAACCCGAGTGGTGAGTTGTTATTGGATTTCTGTGCTAGTGATGGTCTATCCTTAACGAACACCATGTTCAAACATAAGGGTGTCCATCAGTACACATGGCACCAGGACAACCTAGGTCGGAGGTCAATAATCAACTTTGTAGTTGTTTCCTCTGATTTTAGCCATATGTTTTGGACACTCAGATGAAGAGAGGGGCTGAGCTGTCAACTGATCACCACCTGGTGATTATTCGATCGCAGGGGAAAAAGCTGGACAGACCTGGCAGGCCCAAGCATATAGTGAGGGTCTGCTGGGAATGTTGGGCGGAAGCCCCAGTCAGAGAGGTCTTCAACTCTCACCTCTGACAGAGCTTCAAACAGGTGGCGAGGAAGACTGAGGACATTGAGTCCAAATGGACTATGTTCCTCACCTCCATTGTCGGGGTGGCTGCTGGGAGCTGTGGCTGTAAAGTCTCCTGGCAGTCACCATGGCAAAAACTGGGGCCTTGGAGGAGTTCGGTGAGGCCATGAAAGAAGACTTTCGGTTGGCTTCAAAGAGATTCTGGAGAACTGTCCGTCAGCTCAGGAGGGGGAAGCAGTGTTCTGCCAACACTGTTTACAGTGAAGGTGGTATGCTGCTGACCTCAACTGCGGATGTCGTCGGCCGGTGGAAGGAGTACTTTGAAGATATCCTTTCGTAAAGGAAGCCAGGGCTGGGAACTCGGGAGGGGACTTGTTCATTACCCTGGCTGAAGTTGCCGAGGTAGTTAAGGAACTCCTCGGTGGCAAGGCTGCTGGGGTGGATGGGGTCCGCCCCGAGTTTCTCAAGTCTATGGATGTTGTGGAGCTGTCTTGGCTGACACGCTTCTGCAGCATTGCGTGGCGGATGGGGACGGTGACTCTGGACTGGCAGACCGGGGTGGCGGCCCCCTTTTTTAAGAAGGGGGACCGGAGAGTGTGTTCCAACTATATAACCTCCCTGGGAAAGTATATGCCAGGGTACTGGAGAGGAGAATCCGGCCGACAGTTGAACCTCGGAGGAACAATGCGGTTGTTGCCCCGGCCGTGGAACACTGGGCCAGCTCTATACCCTCACTAGGGTGTTAGAAGGATCATGGGAGTTTGACCAACCAGTCTACATGTGTTTTGTGGATCTGGAGAAGGCATTCAACCATGTCCCTCGTGGGATCCTGTGGGAGTTACTGCAGGATTATGGGGTGTGGGGCTCGTTGTTATGGGATTTCCGTTCTCTATATGACCGGAGCAGGAGCTTGGTTCGCATTGCCGGCAGTAAGTCAGACCTGTTTCCAGTGCAGGTTGGACTCCGGCAAGGCTGCCCTTTGTCACCAATTCTGTTCATTATTTTTATGGACAGAATTTCTAGACACAGCCGGGGAACGGAGGGTGTCTGTTTTGTTGGTTGCAAAATCCCGTCTCTGCTCTTTGTGAATGGTGTGGTTCTGTTGGCTTCATCAGTTCAAGACTTACAGCATGCACTGGAGGGTTTTGCAGCTGAGTGCAAAACAGCGGGGATGAGAATTAGCACCTCCGCTATGGTTCTCAGTCAGAAAAAGGTGGATTGCTGCAGTGGAAGGTGGAAGTCTGGAAGGTTCTGCTCAGGCTACTGCCCCCATTGCCCAGTCCCGGATGAAGCAGATGAAGGTGGATGGATGTTTTTCCAATAAAATTGTGAAGTTATAGAATCAAGTGATTTAAACCATTTATCTGTGGATGCTGTGGGAAGCATTGTAAACAAGTAGTTAATTTGAGGTAGAGTTTTAATTTTGATAGTAGCTACTCGGCCAATGAGGGAGAGAGGAAGATTGTACCAGCGTTTGAAATCATCTTCTATCTTTTTTAGCAGGGGGGTGTAGTTGAGATTAAAAAGTTCTGACAGCCTGGGGGAGATATTGATACCAAGATATTTAATGTTGCCTGTGCAGAGTTGGGGAGACGAGTCTTGAGCTGCAGAATCCCAAGCATCCTCAGAGAGTGGTAGTATGGTGGATTTATTTCAGTTTATTGTGTAGTTTGAGATTTTAGAAAATGTGTTAGTAATGTGTAAAGTTTGCTGTACAGAATTATATGGATCATGTAACTATAGTAACAAATCATCTGCATCAAGACAAATTTTATGTTCTGAGTAAATATCTTGTATTTCTGTAATCATATTGTTCTGTCGTTTTACTGCTGCTAGAGGCTCAATGAAAATGATAAATAGAGATGGTGAGAGTGGGCATCCTTGTCTGGTACCCTGCTGTAAAATGAAACTTTGTGACCTGGGGCCTGTTGCACAAAAGTAGAATTAAGACATCCAGGATAAATGACTGAGCTGAGCTCAATGAATCCAAAACACGTGCGTCCAGGCTTAATTGGTTGCACAAAGACCAAGCCAGGATGAGCAGACACGAATTCATCAAACCAGGTGTAACCAATCCTGGATATGTGCGCGTTTGCGGCTCACTCAAATAGACCCGCCACCGATCACAGATTCACTGATTCACCATGGCAACTAGAGCGGCGTACTTTTCCTCGTCTGAGGCACAAATCCTCATGGAGGCATACGAGGAGGTCAAAGAAATAATTAAGAAGAAAGGCAACACCGCCACAGTGATCAAACAAAGAGAAAAAGCGTGGCAAAGTATTGCAGACCGCCTGAATGTGTAAGTAGTGCACAATTACAAACTCACCGCTCCGCTGAAACATAACAATTACAATTTAAATAGTTAAGTCACATCTCCAAAAACGCAGTTGTACTCTGATTATGAAACAGTTGAATCTTTAATTGAAATGGACTGCAGATATGAGTGAAATTGTGTACAGTAATTCCATCATACTGTATAAGGCTTTGATAAATTATCAAAGCCTTGCTTTATTACTACGCTCACTAGTACGGTTTAATCTTAGCTGTTGTACTCTGCTTCTTATGTAGTCCACCGATTTTTCAGTGTGTTCTGCTTTTATTAATGTAAAGCTGCTTTGAAACAATGAAACAATTGTGAAAAGCGCTATATAAATGAAATAAAATTTAATTGAATAAATAGATGAGCTAATAATAATAATCTCTTTAATTTATATAGCGCCTTTCAAAGGACCCAAGGTTGCTTGCTCACTGACTCCATTGAATGTTCTTGTGTGATAAAGAAAGTGTCTCTTTTCGTGTGTGGTGTGGTGTGTGTGTGTGTCTGATGTAGATTAAACATGAATGGGCCAAAACGGACATGGCAGCAAGTAAAAGTCAAATACAAGAACATTCTGCAGAATGGTAAGGGCCCTGACTAATACTTAACAATGCGCAAGCTTATATTGTACCCAGAAGGTGCCTGCTCACACATTGTCCGTAATGTTTTAGCAGTGAAAAAGAATACCCACAAACAAGGCACGGGTGGTGGG